AAATTGGGGGCAAAAAGGGATCTTGAATCATGAGTTAGTTGAAATATTAGACTTGTTTGTTTGTTGTTTAAATAAATTTAATTTTAGGGAAGAATATGAATCACACACTTTCATAACATGCAATTTAACATTTTTTTTAAGCATCGCATGACTTTTTAAAATCAAGAACTAATAAAAATACACATTGTTTTTCATCATGTCAAACAAACAATTATATCATAATAGTTTTATTGGAGAAAAATAGCCTAACCCCATTTAGATCAAATAATTATTTTAATAAGTTTCAATTAATTCCTATTTGTCCACTCGTGCTGCAATTTGAGTGTCACATTTGTCAAAGGGCTGCAATTAATCAACTCACTTAATGGAACATTCTCTGCCTCATGATTTGATTTTAGCATCTATTTGTAAGGGACTCTACCAAACCTAAACGTATTCATTAACCAATATTTTCAACAATCAATAATGCTCAAATCACTTGTGACAAAGAAAATTTGGTGAGTTTTATGGTGGGCCCCTCTTTGTTGGGCATATGTGCAGTATTCAACATTTTGCGTTTATTTTATTTTTTCTAACCAATAAAAAGAGATTTATTTGTGTGATCATATAATAATCGGCATGCATTAAATTTTGGACCAATTTTAGTAGTTAAATGAGAATAATATAGATGGTGTTCTAATTATTCACAAATACAATTCGGTTCGATTCGTGAAAGTTCGAATTTGACTCGTTCTTCTGCTTCAATGATTCGAGTTTGAATAGTTAAAGGAATTTATTTATTTAACGAGTCAAGTTGAGCTTGTTCACAAACAACTCGCTTTCTATGAGTTTTATTAAATATAACAGCTAAGTTGAACTTGTTTGTGAATAACTCGTTCAAGGTTTTAGATTTATAAAACTAGTAAAGTCAAGCCAAGTTTTCATGATCTTTTATTACATGAACATGAACTATAATATGAGCTGCTCGAATTGGATCGTCTTGAATATATAACCATATATGTAAATTGTTCGATTTTTTTTCTATTATTTCATGATCATCAGAAAGAAAATAATACTCTATAATTGTGTAAAATGAACCAATATTTCGTAAGTAGTAAAAAAAATGTTTTATGCATGGGTCTAAACGAACATCAACTGCTGTGGGAGATAAAAAAATTGTGTTTTATGTAATAATCTTGGTGTAATTCCATAAAGCATCGAAATAAATAAATAAATAAATAAAATTTTCCAATTGAAAATAAAAATGTGGTAAAAGCACACGGGCATTGATTTCTAGTTTATGGAATGTGACCCACCCTATTAATTTTTGGCAATGTGATGTTGGACTTATAAGATATCATCACAAAATAATGGTGGTAGTATGGTGTATTTAAAGCATGTCATATTGACTGAAAGTATACCTAATGCTAGATGTAACTAATTTCGAATATATAATCATACAAATAATAATAATATATACGAACATGATATGTTATGTTGTAAAATGGGATCGATAATCCTGTTTTGAGCACGAGAAAACTCATATCTCACAATTACTCAAAGTTGAAACCTTTAATTCTTCAATTCACATCTTCATTTGTATCCATAATAACAAGATGACATACCTTTTTTAAAAATAAATGATTCCAAAATAAAACTTAAGATCTATGGGCTTTATAAGTTAAACTAGTACAGAGCCCGTGCGATACACGGGGTGCACAATTTTAAGGCTATTTATCCAGCCTTATAATTATATACATGAATAAAGAAAAATGTACGGGATATATATAGTACGTGACCCGTGCGAAGCACGAGATATATTTATTTGGAGAATATTACATTATAAGATGCAATATTCAGTAAAAGTTTATAATACGCAAGAAAATTGTACAATGTTCAATAAAAGTTTTATAATATTCAAGTGGAGTCTTAAAGTCTCTTGTACATTAAGACTACTGACAAAATAATATTTTAATCAATGAGTTTCCTTTCCTTGTAGCCAAATTGTGAATGTGATTTGAGGAATACAACAAATCGATATATAGCTGACTTGCTTTTTCATTGTAATTTTTTTTTTTTCTTTTTTTTTATAATGACTTTAAAGATATTCTAAAATATAGCAAAAATTAATGTTTTTATCACAATTAGGAATTTTATTAAATATAAACTCTCAATCTATGGTGTTAATCAACGTTTAAGTCTAAAAAATTAGGATTTTTTACCTCTTTTAATCAACGTTTAAGTCTAAGAAACAATAGAGTTATTATAAGTTTTTTTTCTACATCTTTTAAAACATTAAATATGAGCATGTTAGGGCTAGCTTGTAAAATAATTAATATATTATCTCACTAAAACATTTATACTAATAAAAATTTAAATTTAGCATATAAATTTATCCCTTGATATAAGAGAAAGTAACAATTTTACTTATTGTTGTACACCATATAATATTTAATTATTATTTTATTATATAATAAAAAAGAAATATTGTTAAATAGTGTAGTAGAATTGTTATAAAATTATATGAATTTTTTTTTTACAATATGGATTTAATATTTTGTTATGATTTGATAATATAAACAAATCTATACTTAACTTTGACAAATAAAACAAATAAATACTTTAGTAAGTATTTAATGTATATACTAAATAGGAATATATTTGGTATAATCAAATACCAAATATAATCAAATAAGTCAAAGTGTACATTTTTATTTGATATTTTATTTTTTTATTATTAAAATATTTTTATTATACTTACCTTTTTAAAATTAAATAAATAAATCAATTAAATAAATAAAATATTATAATACCAAAATAGTAATGACATTTAATGCAGTTGACTTTTCTGGATAGTAAATGTAGTAAATAGAATATCCTTTTATATAGTATAATACGGAAATAGTAATGCAATAAATACTGACTTTTCTGGCTACTTAATTTGATAAATAGTACTCCCTTTAATATAAGTATAGATGATTCTAAATTAAATCCTAAGGACAATATAACTTAGCATGACCAAACAATACAATGTAATTATTAAATAAGCTATATATGACTCCATATATCAAATTATACTGTGTAAATATACGTGTAGATATTATGTACCTAAAATTATGGACCATTACACCTACAATACACAATTCCATCTATCGTCTTGTCGGTGAAGGTTTCAATTGCAAAATTATTTATTCTGAGAATTGAATTTTACGTCATATTTTAGATGGCCCATTGACTTGTCGGTGGACGTTTTGACCCAGTGTTGGAAGACTACTGGGCTTGCTCAATGCACAGTTTTTTATTTTTTATTTTTTATTTTTTGAAAGAATATGATCACGCATGACGCAAACTATAAACTATTCATAAATGAGTTATAAAAATAAGTTTAAAAATAATTCTGTTGAAGAACAATAACAAAAATAAACTACTATTAATTATTCATAAAGAGTATTTGGTGCAAATGTCTATAATCTTTACATGTTTATTAAATTTTGGATTTATTTTTTTTTTTTTGTAAAAATACAGTTATTCAAACTAAAATTATAAAACAAACTATTCATAAATGATCACAAAACAATAAAAAAAATATACCATTTAAAAAACAATAACAAAACTAATGGTAAACAGTAAAATTAATATATTTTGAAATAAAAAGATGGTAAATATGCAAATAAAAAAAAAGCAAGTGTACGGTTAACTTGCCCAATAGACCTTTTGTTGATTTAATTAATTTTTTCTAAATCTATTAATATATAAAGAGACAATGATATTTACTTGAAATAGCAACTAAAAATAAGTTAAAAAATATTTAGTTTCCCGCCTAAAGTATTTATTATATTGAGTAATATTTTTTGCCAAAATTTAAAAAATCCCGCCTAAAGTAATGTATCATTTTGATCAGATATTGCAGCTATTACCTTTATTAGTTGCATTATTTAAATTTGGTATATAAACATTTGCATGTGGCTCTGACAAAATGCATGACCACTCAAAGTAAGTCCATTGCAATTTGCAAACAAATAAAGTCCAGATCCCCTGACTCAGCCCAAATACCATATAAGCCCAAAAAAGAAAGAACTGATGGGCCGCAACATACGCCGAGTAAGCACCATCTTATATTTTTTCATCAATTTCCATTATATATATGAACCACCCTGAGTGAGACTTTGGTATAGTTTGATTTTGTTCCATAATCTTGATAATTTTATATTTTGGGATGGTGAAGTTATTTAATTTACTTTTATTGTGCTGGAGGAAATTAAAAAAAAAAAAGAAAGGTAATTATATTTGAGTTTTAAAATTATGAGCAAATCATTTTATTTTGAGAATTTATGATTTACATACGAAAACAAAATTTATATATAGTACCAATATAGTACCATAATATTAAGGGAACTTAATTGTCATCCAATTTTATATACTAATTTTTATTTTAATTATTATAGTACCATAATATTGGGTCTTGAATTGATAATCGACACATTTTTCCAATCTATAAAACTCATATTACAAATTATGGTAAACTGCAAACATCTCTTTAGCTTGAAAGTCATTAACCAAGTTACGCAAGCCACCATATACCAATAAAGTACAGTACATTGTTAGATCGTTGACATGAATGTTTGACCTAATTTATTGACTATTTATAGTGATTAAAAATCATTAAATAATTGTAATTAGTCTCAGCTTAATCACTTCACTAATTAGTAATTACTCTTCCCCAGCCTCTCCATATATATACTCACTTCCAAATCTTTCTTTCTAAAGCACTTGTTAACTTCCCCTTTTCTCTCTCTACACAGGCAATTCCAGAGCGAGAGAGATGAAGCCGGCCGTCGAAGCCCCGGCGGCGGCGAACGGCGCCGTTAAGCCGCAGTTCCTCAACCCGACGCGCCTCGCCTACCGCCCGCAGCCTCCCCCGCGGCGGCGACACCGCAGCGGCTGCTGCCGCTCCTGCTGCCTCTGGACGACCACAGCTGTCCTCCTCGTCCTCCTCCTCGCTGCCGCCGCCGGCGCAGCGTTCTACGCGCTGTACCGCCCCCGCCGCCCGTCGTTCTCGGTCGGCTCCCTCCGCCTCTCCAGGTTCAATCTGACAGGCGCGACGCTCACCAGCGCCTTTAATTTCTCGCTCACCGCCAGCAACCCGAACAAGAAGATCGACTTCTACTACGATCAGATCTCAGTTAGGCTATACTCCGGCGACGTGGACATCGGCGACGGGGCGTTTCCCGGCTTCGCGCACGGCAGGAAAAACTCGACGACGTTAAGGACGCTGATTTCGAGCTCGAGCGATCCGATTCCCGCCGGCACCGACTTGTCGCACCTGAGATCGAGCTTGAGGAGCGGCGATCTGCCAGTGAAGATACAGCTGGACACGAAGGTGAAGGTGAAAGCCGGCAAAATCGAGTCGAAGAAGCTTGGGATTAGGGTCACCTGCGATGGAATCAGGGTTCCAATCCCAAGGGGCAAAACGACGGCGTTGGCCACGACCTCAAACGTGAAGTGCGAGGTCGATCCACGTGTCAAGATCATCAGATGGACGGTTTGAGTGATTTTTTTTTCACGCAAAATGTGTGACATTTTTTTCAGTTTGAAATTTGAAAATGTTCATTTATTTTCTTTTTGTTTGTTTTGATTTGTTGCTTTTTCTTCTCTCGTTTGTGCTTGCGAATTTCGGATTTTTGTTTTCTTGTACATGCCTGTTTTTTTTAGAATTATTCTTGCTAATTAACATTCATTGTTATGTTTGAGAAAAAATATTATGAAGTGGATTTGATTAAATTTGTCTTTTTTTTTTTCTTGGATAATGATGGTGAACACAACCCGGAATATATGAAAGTTTGTACTTATAATTAGAGCTTAACAAGCCTGGGCTTGGATTTTAACGTGAATAATGATAAAAAATTTCACAAATTACGTTAACCTATTTTTCAAATCATTGCAATCAACGTAGCATACTATTATATGTAACAATTAGAAAATTATGGGGTAATCATCATGCATAATTTGTTTCATATCAATGGAATAAATGTGTCTTAAGACTCGGTAACAAATCAATAATATCCATCAAGATATTTGTGTAACACTAATTCCTATATAAAGCGGTTATAAATACTTTTATTCTTTTTAGTCCGCAATATAATAATTTTATAGACAGGCTCAAGCAGTTGAGGAGTTGAGGGACGACACGAGAGAATGCGATATTATTTTCTTGTTCATAAAAACGTTTAAAGTAAACGATAAAACTGAAACCGAACATGTGAACAGCCTAAATAAGGGACGAGAATGAAAATAAAAAGTATAGAAAACTGACTGAGAGCATGTGAGAATGTGCTCGAAAAACATTGCAAAAAATTAAACTTGAAGTGTTCAAATAATTAGTGTGATTTAAATATGCCTCATACCAATCAACCCGTACACAAAATGTGATTTCCAGAATAATAACAATAAAAAAAAAAAAGGGATACCAAAAGGAAAAACAAATGCTAGCTAGAAAAAAAAAATGCAGATTGCAGTTTATGACCAATTGATCAAAACATGAGTGCACCTTCCCTTACAAAAAAGCTAGAATGTGTATAAGTTTTACTCCTCACTAAATTGTGATAATCTTAATTAGAGGCCTTGTCTGTAATGTAAATGGAGCTAACTTTTGGTTCTTGATTGATACACTGTTCCCTCCAAGAAGTTGAATTTTTCTAACCACTTCAATTAGATAACATACCATGTTGAAAATTGGGATTTACCATAATTCTTTATATACTAAAGAAGACAAAATCTGACTTCAAGAAGCATTTTAGTCTATAATAGACTGGCATTTTTTCCCCTATTTTTTTTTTTTCAAGTTTAAAAAGAGAAGGCATTATGGGTTTAGTTCTTCAAACTTGAAAAAAGACAAGATCAACTGGTTCTGTTTTTATTTCTTGACAAAATGTAAATTATTACCTTGAATAATTACTCTTCTCCCATGGCTGAACCTGAATCCTCACTCGAAGATCCTCATTTCCCATCTCCTCTTGCTCCCTTAATATCTCATTAGCCGAGATAACAGCTAAATCGCTACAATATTCCAACTCGATCGATTTAAGTGTCGTTATATCTCCAATTCCTAAAGGGATCTCCTTCAGCTTACCCAAATACCTCAGCACAACACGCTCGAGCATCGGAAAATGACTGCTCTCTGTATTCCACCATTCCAAATCCAAACACTGCTCGATCAGCAAGAATTTAAGGCTGCAAAAATGCCCTTCAACAGTTTCCCACGCGGGCCCCACGAACGAACCCCTTTTAAGCTTCAGCACTTCAAGATTCGGCAGAGAACCTATCCTCGTCATCATCTCATCTTCCCAAGAGAACTCATTCCCTTGCAAAGTCAACTTCTTGAGTTGACTTGGGAACTCGATTTCCCGAGCATAAACACAGTAAAGGGATTCGAGCTTATGCAAACACCCGATATTCTCCAGGCACAATTCATTGCCATTATTATTATTATTAAGCTTGAGTTTCTTGATATTTGGTATCCTCTTCACAACTTCCTCACTAAACTTCAAATTGCACACAGTCTTGAGCGTCTGCAGATGGCCCAGAACAACGAGATCAGTTCCGGAAGGTTCCAGAAGCTCGAGCCTACGGAACTTCACGTGCCTGAGTTGGGTCATCTTCCAAAACTCGTTCGGGAGAGTAACATTAGGGCCTTCAACAATAAGTGTCTGCAGATTCCATAACAGGTGGAGCGAAGAGAGATAATTATCGGTAATTTCGTGCCAGTTGACTCTAACATCAAGAAGCCTCAAGTTGACTAAACCGAAAATATCTTTTGGCGAATCGTAAAATGGTAACGACAAACGATCGTCCGCTTTGATTACCCTCAACAGTTTAGAACTAACGGACGATACGAGCAATAACGAATCGCATATCAACGAACGAACGTGTGGAGATGACAGCAAAGCTTCGGCTTCAGTGTTCGGAATTTTTGGCTTCGGCAAATCATAAGTGGAAAAGCTGCATCTTGGTATGCTTTTAGCAAAACATATGCGGCGGTTGTTACTCGTGTCTGCTGAGGTGTCATCTAAATTTATGAAGTTCAGAAGCTTCTGTTTTCGAGCTTCTTTTACGCATAGGTCCCTCAAGAGATCGTGACACGTGCAGATTTTGATATTCCCAGCGGGCCCGCGCTCGTGAACTGAAATAAGGTTTCGATCCGTAAGTTCTTTTAGGTAATGTAGGGCGATTATCTCCGAGCTTTCACTACCGATTGATTTTACTTTTACAAATCCTTCTGAAACCCAAAACTTGATGAGTGAGGAGACGCGGATTTTAGCGTCTTCTTGAAAAACTCCCGTGTAGAGAAAACACGGCTTCAGATGAATCGGCAAGTGGCGATAACTCATGTGAAGTATTTTAAAGCAACTTTCGTTGTCTTCAAAATTCACGGTCGAGTTCAAATTTTCCGCAACGTGTAGCCAATATTCCCCTTTTCGTTCTGACTTCGCCAGAAGTCCACCGATCACGACAATCGACAGAGGAAGGCCTCTGCAGTTTTCGGCGATTTTTTTTCCGATTTCTTCCAATTCGAAACCACCGGGGCGAATTTCTTCTTCTCCGAATACGGTTTTCGAAAGTAGATTCCAACTTTGATCTTTATCAAGAAAACTCATCTTAATGCAATGAGAAGAATCGTCACTCAACTGAAAAGCCACATTCGAGAGCCTAGTCGTCACCATCACTCGACTCCCATTGTTATTCTCCGGAAAGAAGAACTTCATCTCGTCCCATGTGTCGAGACTCCATACATCGTCCATCACTACCAAATACCTCCGGCCAGATAACGCTTTATGTAACAGTAAGGGTAATTCATCTTCGCTTTTTCCATTAAAATGTTCCTTGCCCACCTGGTGATTCACGCTGCAAACGAGAAATTCCAAGAGAATTTCTTTCAAGCAATACTCCTGAGAAATAGTTGCCCAAGAAAGAATATCGAAATGCTGCTCGACGAGCGGGTTTGTGAAGACATTCCGGGCGAGAGTTGTCTTACCCATGCCGCCCATTCCGGTGATTGTGATGACCCGGCGGCGGTCCGTCGAGTGACAGGTGAGCTTATCCATGACGTCAACCATGACGTCATCGAAACCCACCATTGGAGGGGATCTTGAGGAACCGGTCTGCGGCGACGGTGGATGTGGGTTCAAGCGAGGCCGATCTTTTCGGATTTCCGCCTTTTGTTTCATCGTCTCCTTCACATCTTTGGCGATGAAATTCATACTTTCTGTGACTCTCTGTAGGCCTTGAAACAGCGATTCGTCATAGCTGGAACTGGGATTTAGCGATCGAGCTTGAATTCGATCGACTACATGAGATTCTATTACATCCTCTGCTTCGTGAGCTGCATCGGCTATGAGGCTCTCGAGTCCATCCGAATTTAAGGAATAATTTTCGAGAAAGTCTTGGAACAGAGTGAGGATTTGGGTAAGAGATTGAATTTGTGATATGTGGAGAGAGATTGGAGGGTGAGGATGGTTCTGTAAGCGTTCGATGGTATGCCTAAGTGAAAGCACAGCTGCATAAGCTGCCATGAGTATCTCTGCCAAGGCAAAATGAAGCAAAGAGCAGGTTATAATATTTCTTCTTTCTTCTTCTTCTTCTTCTTCTTCTTTCTCCTTTTTAAACAAAAATCTGGTGGAAATCAATCAAACGGCCGGATTTTGAAAATCCGTTTTTTAAAAAACGGATTTTCATAATCCGTTTTTTATTTTTTTATTATTTATTATTTATAATTTATTAATTTATTATTAAAAAAAAACTTAAAAACGGATTTTCAAAATCCGTTTTTATTTTTTATTTATTTTTTATTTTATATTATTTATTTATAAAAAAATGAATTTTCAAATCCGTTTTTAAGTTTTTTTTAAATAATAAATAAAAAAATAAAAAATAAAAATGGATTATAAAAAAAAATTAAAAAAGGATAAAACGGATTTCAATTAAAGTCAAATTAGTACAATCTCGGTCAATTATAGTGTAATTGAACTCGAATTAGTCCAATTGAAGTCGAATTAGTATAATCTCGGTCAATTATAGTGTAATTGAACTCGAATTAGTCTAATTAAAGTCGAGTTAGTACAATCTCGGTCAATTATAGTGTAATTGAACTCAAATTAGTCCAATTAACTAATTCGAGGTCGATTACACTATAATTCGAGGTTAATTACACTATAATTGACCGAGGTCAAATTGGACTAATTCGAGGTCGATTACATTATAATTGACCGATATTTTACTAATTTGACTTCAATTGGACTAATTCGAGGTCAATTACATTATAATTGACCGAGATTATACTAATTCGACTTCAATTGGACTATTTCGAGTTCGATTACACTATAATTGACCGATATTGTACTAATTCAACTTCGATTACACTATAATTGACCGAGATTGTACTAATTTGAATTCAAATGGACTAATTTGATTTCAATTGGACTAATTCGAGTTCGATTACACTATAATTGATCGAGATTGTACTAATTCGACTTCAATTGGACTAATTCGATGTCGATTACACTATAATTGATCGAGATTGTACTAATTCGACTTCAATTGGACTAATTCGAGTTCAATTACACTATAATTGACCGAAATTGTACTAATTGGACTTCAATTGTACTAATTCGCCTTCAATTGGACTAATTCGAGTTCAATTAAACTATAATTGACCGAGATTGTACTAATTCGTCTTCAATTGGACTAATTCGAGTTCGATTACACTATAATTGATCGAGATTGTACTAATTCGACTTCAATTGTACTAATTCGAGGTCGATTACACTATAATTGACCGAGATTGTACTAATTCGATTTCAATTGGACTAATTCGAGGTCGATTACACTATAATTGACCATGATTGTACTAATTTGACTTCAATTAGACTAATTCGAGTTCGATTACACTATAATTTACCGAAATTGAACTAATTTTACTTCAATTGGGCTCATTCGAGGTCGATTACATTATAATTGACCGAGATTGTACTAATTCGACTTCAATTGGACTAATTCGAGTTCAATTACTAGATTGTACTAATTTGACTTCAATTGGACTAATTCGAGTTCGATTACACTATAATTGACCGAGATTTTACTAATTCAACTTCAATTGGACTAATTCGAGTTCGATTACACTATAATTGACCGAGATTGTACTAATTCGACTTCAATTGTACTAATTCGAGTTCAATTACGCTATAATTGTCCGAGATTGTACTAATTTGACTTCAATTGGACTCATTCGAGTTCAATTACTAGATTGTACTAATTTGACTTCAATTGGACTAATTCGAGTTCGACTACACTATAATTGACCGAGATTATACTAATTCGACTTCAATTGGACTAATTCGATTTCGATTACACTATAATTGACCGTGATTGTAATAATTTGACTTCAATTGGACTAATTCGAGTTCGATTACACTATAATTGACCGAGATTGTACTAACTCGACTTTAATTGGACTAATTCGAGTTCAATTACACTATAATTGACCGAGGTTATACTAATTCGACTTCAATTGGACTAATTCGAGTTCAATTACACTATAATTAACCGAGATTGTACTAATTTGACTTCAATTGAACCAATTTGACTTCAATTGGACTAATTCAAGTTCGATTACACTATAATTGACCGAGATTGTACTAATTCGACTTCAATTGGACTAATTCGAGTTCGATTAAACTATAATTGACCGAGATTGTACTAATTCGACTTCAATTGGACTAATTCGAGTTCAATTACACTATAATTGACTAAGATTGTACCAATTCGACTTCAATTGGACTAATTCGAGTTCAATTACACTATAATTGACCGAGATTGAACTAATTTGACTTCAATTGGACTAATTCGAGTTCGATTACACTATAATTGACCGAGATTGTACTAATTCGACTTCAATTGGACTAATTTGACTTCAATTGGACTAATTAGAGTTCGATTACACTATAATTGACCGAGATTGTACTAACTCGACTTTAATTGGACTAATTCGAGTTCAATTACACTATAATTGACCGAGGTTATACTAATTCGACTTCAATTGGACTAATTCGAGTCCAATTACACTATAATTAACCGAGATTGTACTAATTTGACTTCAATTGAACCAATTTGACTTCAATTGGACTAGTTCAAGTTCGATTACACTATAATTGACCGAGATTGTACTAATTCGACTTCAATTGGACTAATTCGAGTTCAATTACACTATAATTGACCGAGATTGTACTAATTTGACTTCAATTGAACTAATTTGACTTCAATTGGACTAATTCGAGTTCAATTACACTATAATTGACCAGATTGTACTAATTCGACTTCAATTGGACTAATTCGAGGTCGATTACACTATAATTGACCGAGATTGTACTAATTCGATTTCAATTGGACTAATTCGAGGTCGATTACACTATAATTGACCGAGATTGTACTAATTCTACTTCAATTGGACTAATTTGACTTCAATTGGACTATAATTGACCGAGATTGAAGTCGAATTAGTACAATCTCGGACAATTATAGTGTAATCGAACTCGAATTAGTCCAATTAAAGTCGAATTAGTACAATCTCGGTCAATTATAGTGTAATCGACCTCGATTTAGTACAATCTCGGTCAATTATAGTCCAAATGAAGTCAAATTAGTCCAATTGAAGTCAAATTAGTACAATCTCGGTCAATTATAGTCCCATTGAAGTCAAATTAGTTCAATTTAAATCAAATTAGTACAATCTCGGCCATTTATAGTGTAATCGACCTCGAATTAGTCCAAATGAAGTCAAATTTGTCCAATTGAAGTCAAATTAGTACAATAACAGTCAATTATAGTCCAATTGAAGTCAAATTAGTACAATCTCGGTCAATTATAGTAAAATCGACCTCGAATTAGTCTAAATGAAGTCAAATTAGTACAATCTCGGTCAATTATAGTGTAATCGGCCTTGAATTGGTCCAGTTGAAGTCGAATTAGTACAATCTCGGTCAATTATAGTGTAATCGAATTCGAATTAGTACAATTGAAGTCAAATTACTACAATCTCGGTCAATTATAGTGTAGTCGCCCGTTATCTTTTAAAAAATAAAAAATTAAAATAAAAATTAAGAACGGATTTTCAAATTCCGTTTTTAAGTTTTTATTTTTTAATAAATAAAAAATAAATATAAAATAATTAAAAAATACGGATTCTCAGAATCCGTGTTTCCTTGAAACACGGATTTTGAGAATCCGGCTGTTTTATTTTTTTCCAGAAACCTTTTTTTTGATTTATTTTTGTCCACGGATTTTTTGTTTATTTTATTTAAATAAATGATTCATGTTTTTTTACTCAAAGTAATCATTGATAAATAAAAAATAATTTTGTTTCTCCATTTAGTTTTGTAGCACTTAATTTCATATTTTTTTCCACTGAAGTTACTTTTTAACTACTAACTATATTTTTTTTATCAATATATAAAATATAAATTATAAATAGTAATATTAGGGTTTATACATTTATGTCAAAAAGTAAATTAGCTGAATTTTACATGAAAAATAAAATAATAAAAAAAACTTAAATTGAGAATAACTTAAAATATAATTTTATTATAAAATTCAAGCTTTAAATTAGTATAATTTTAAAAAATGGGGTCAAATTTTCATTGATTAGAATATATGTATATATGTATATATAACCATTTACTAAAATAGTAGTAAAAACTTTTGAGAGCATTTAATGCATATCTTTTTTTAGAAACTTTTTAAATATATGCATTAATTGTTTCCATAAACACGTTTTTAAATAAAAACAAATTAGATATGATAAAAAATATTGTTTCCTCGAATAATTTTATTAATATCTGCAATAATTTCATTGATATTTTCCGTGATCCACGTTGATAATATTTTGGTCAAGATAAATACAACATATTTTAAGTTCTAACTATAATATTATTTTTTTCAAAAATAATCACTTTTTATTCAAAAATATTTATAGAAAATCGTAACAGGTTAGGTAGAAATTTTTATTCTAATTAATCAGGCAAGATCAAGTTGGTGAATTAATATTTGTCAATATAATTACCATTTAAGAGATAATGATCAGATACATTAAATAGTTTATTAATGGTTAGAAATTAAAATTGAAATATATTAACTATTCTTTACAATTTATTTGTATACTATTGGCAACCATGATTATTTTTTTATTATTTTTTCTAATAATGAAATTCTTGTAAAATATATTTTTATTTCAGAGTATGCTAAATAAATTATAAATTTTTATGATGCAAATTAAAAAAATCGTCATCATATAAGAGATTGTGTTTTTGGAATTTTCTAAATCAAAGTTGTTTATTTAGTATATAAAATTAAATTCTAAAAAAACATGTGTTTATATTTTGTAAAATATACATAAACTAATTAATTTTAAATTTATTTATATATTTTAAATTGATTACATAAATAAATAATACTAATGTGTATTAAATGTTTCTAATTACATAGAATAAAAAGAAAAAGAAGACGTACAACTTTTATGACTTTTATAAATAGTAATGACATTATATGACAACAAATTTTATAATAAAATAATAATTAAGTATTATATGGTGAACAATAATAAGTGAAACTGTTATTTTCTTTTATGTAAAGAAATAAATATATATACTAAAATTAAGGAATAATATATATACTAAATATATTGGAATATTTTATTCCTTTTTTTAAAAAAATAAAATGAATGTGATGGAGGTTTCTAGAATGGGAGAATAGCCTTTGAATTTGGTTTATGCTTAAACCCTGAAACCCCAAATTATCCAGTCTTGAAGCTCACACATTTTTCACCCTCAAAAACCCTACAGCCCCAATCAACTTTCTTCAGCTTCCTTTTATTTCCTCACCGGATTTTCTTGATTTCACCATGTACAGGTTCGCCGCCACTGCCATTGCTTCATCACTAAGGTTAGCCACGAGAAGAAAACTTTAATTTCTATGTATCAACATATTCGAATATCCATTTCGTAGTGATAATCGCTCGATGTTTCTGTGTGCAGGTCATCTACTTCAAGAAATCTGGTAACTTTGAATCAAACTATGGTTTTGTTAATTTTACTTCCCTTTTTATACTTACTGATTTCTTTTCTTCACTCCTTGTTTTCATGGTTGAATGAGAAGGTTGGCAGTAGGGTTTATGTCAGAAATTATGTCGCCAAGGATATTAATTTTGGCACCGGAGCTCGTGCAGCCATGCTTGCCGGAGTTAATGATCTGGCGGAAGCTGTAAAAGTTACTATGGGGCCGAAGGTATCTTTGAGTCCTCGTTGGTGTTGGGAAGCTATTTGAAAAATTCAAGAAATGGGGTGATGAAGATTAGTAACTCTTCAAATTCTGTGCAGGGGCGTAATGTAATTATTCAGAAGCATGGGAAGCCCAAGGTCACAAAGGATGGGGTCACGGTAGCCAAAAGTATCGAGTTTGCAGATAAAGCAAAAAATGTTGGAGCGAATCTTGTGAAACAGGTGGCCGATGCGACTAATAAGGTCGCAGGAGATGGTAATTTACTTCCCAAATTTTATAGTAGGAAGGAGTTTTGAGTTTTCCTCATTTGCTTCATTATAAACCGAGACAAAAGAAAAAAAAATAGGAATGAGACTTTGTATTTAGAAGTTATGGGAATCAAGAGAATGGGTATATTCACTTTGTTGACAAATGCCAGTACTTTTTGCAAGTATTTACTGATTATTCACTGAACATTTTATCTCTGCTTGTGGAAAATTTTAACTGTTCTTTTCTTGAATGTGTTTTATGGGAAATTAGATAGTATTTGGAGTCTGATTATTCCCTTTTCGTTTTTTTCTGCCATGACATATGATCTTGATCCTAAACTTGGTGTTTGCATCAGGTACCACTTGTGCTACTGTGTTGACTCAGGCAATCTTCAGAGAAGGTTGTAAATCAGTAGCCGCAGGAGTAAATGTGATGGACTTGCGCAAAGGCATAAATATGGCAGTTGATGCTGTCGTTAAGGATTTAAAGAGCCGAGCAATCATGATTAGCACACCTGATGAAATCGAACAGGTGACTGGTTTTTTAGCTTAGACCTGATATTAAAATAGAGGAGGCACGAACAATGCCTTTTATGTTTCATTCCGTTTTACTTAACCAAGGCATTTGAGTTTTTAAGATAAGGTATAAGTAGTTTATTTTCTAGTTTTTCTTAGAAATTCAGTATATAGAGTTGATAATTGATTGAGTCTGGTTGATTTTGTTTTGTACTCTCGTTCATTGTTTGTTACATTTGCTTACAGAAACTAACATTTGATTGCCTTCAAACCCTCTTATTATAGTTTTTCTAACTGGTATATCCTTATTAAAGGTGGCCACTATCTCCGCAAATGGCGAGCATGAAATTGGTGAGCTTTTGGCGCGGGCAATGGAGAAAGTTGGGAAAGAAGGAGTCATCACTATCTCTGTTAGTACACTTTTGGTCCTAGTTTATGAGTTTTGGATCTTAACTTTTGGTTGTTACTAATATCTGTAATTTTTCCTGGAAATTTGCAGGATGGCAAAACTATGGATAATGAGTTGGAGGTGGTGGAGGGAATGAAGCTAGCCCGTGGCTATATATCTCCTTATTTTGTTACAGATTCAAAGACCCAAACATGTGTATGTAATATAAAATGTTGTCTCATAATTCTTTCGAATTGAATGCATTTGTTGCTTGGAAGTATTTATGATTTGTTGGAATTCTTTTTGGAGTCTTTTGTTGTCTTTGTCCCAATATTTATTTTGTCCTTGAAAGTTGTTCATGTGTAAACTGGCAAATGTCTTACCTGCTACCAGCTGTAGTTGTTATTAATGAAAAACAGAAAACAAATGTAATTGTGGCAGAATTGTGCGTTTTGCGNTAAGTTCTAAACCAGTCATGTTAATTGGTCTTATTTACAATATTTTCTTTAATTTCAAACAGGAACTTGAAAATCCTTTGATCCTTATCCATGAGAAGAAAATTTCAGACATGAATGCCCTCGTCAGAATACTGGAGATTTCATTAAAGGTAATATCAGTTCATGAAATTTTAAAAGGTAGTACTTATGAGTTCCAGGTGAAATAGAATATGCATGATGGTGATTATAGAACATACTCGTAAAGGAAATGATGATTGACAAATTCATCTGGTGACGTTATTTGTTTTATCAGAGAAGCCGTCCCCTGCTAATAGTTGCCGAAGATGTTGAAAGTGAAGTGCTTTCTATGCTTATTATCAACAAGCATCGTGCTGGGTTGAAGGTATGCATATAATCCCATATTCATAAAACTGATTTACGATTTTATGGGTTCATATATGTCTTGTGTTGCAAAGTGAAGCTGTTAAACTATGATTTTCTTCTTTCCCTGATAATCATTCATGCTGCCTTTTAGGTTTGTGCTGTGAAAGCTCCCGGTTTTGGGGAGAGCAGAAGGGCAAATTTGGAAGATCTTGCCATTCTCACTGGAGGAGAGGTCTGATAAACTCCAACTACATACATCTTTACACGATATGCAATTTTGGTTGTCCCAATTTTTATTATTATTATTATTTTTTATTATTATTATTATTATTATTTTTTTTTTTTGTGCAGGTTATTAGTGAAGAACAGGGGACTGATCTGAGCAAAGTTCAGATTGATATGCTTGGTTCTGCAAAAAAGGTTAGTGTGTAACAATATGAAAAATCTTGATTTGTTCTTATGTTGACTCGAACCTCAACTTTTGACTTGCTCGAGTTTTTGTTTGGATTAGGTGACTGTTTCTCTTGATGACACCTTGATTCTCCACGGAGGTGGGGATAAGAAGTCGATAGAAGAAAGATGTGAGCAGGTATTATTCGAAACAATGACTAACTATATGAAATCTTGATTTGTTCTTATGTTCAGTTTTCTTCTTTTCCTTTCTTTTTTTCTTTTCTTTCTATCTCTGTACAGCTAAGGTCTACCGTTGAGAATAGCAGTGCTGTGTTTGACAAGGAGAAAGCGCAAGAACGGCTGTCAAAGTTGTCCGGTGGTGTTGCAGTTTTTAAGGTACATTCATTTTCCACACGGTCAATTGATTCTTTTCTGTTCTGTTTTTTGCTAGAAACCTTTATTTTCTTCCCTTAAAAAAAAAATATCTTCTTTTCCTTTATCTTTTCCCTTTAGGTTGGAGGAGCTAGTGAAACAGAAGTTGGAGAGAGGAAAGATAGGGCAACCGATGCTCTGAATGCAACTCGTGCTGCAGTTGAAGAAGGCATTGTTCCAGGTAAATTTTGTGTGTATTCTCTACCAAAAGTAGAATAAAATAAATCACATAATTTATATTTCGTACATTTTATTTAATTTTATTTATTTGTTTCTTCCAGGGGGTGGTGTTGCTCTTTTGTACGCTACAAGGGTCCTTAAAGACATCCAAACTGCAAACGAGGACCAAAAAATTGGAGTTCAAATAATAGAGAATGCTCTTAAGGTTCATTCCTCTCTCTCTCTCTATCTCTCTCGGTTATTTCTTTACTGACAAATATCGTTCAAAAAGGCGCTTACATTTACGATTGCCTCAAATGCTGGTGCTGATGGGGCACTAATTATTGGCAAGCTATTGGAACAAGATGACCTAAATTTAGGTTATGATGCTGCCAAAGGTTTGTGTGCATTTTGATTTTCTTTTTAAAAAAAATAAATAAAAAAATCCCGATTCTACACAATTTTACTCGTTAGTATTCGACTCGTTTTTCGGTGTATATGACTTTCTTCCCGAAACAGGTCAGTATGTTAACATGGTGATGGCTGGAATTATCGATCCGGTAAAAGTCATTAAGACTGCCTTGCTAGATGCTGCTAGGTGATGGATTTTTATCATATTAATATTTAATCCTGCAAATATTTTACGCAGAAAGGGATTTTTTACGGTTTATTACTTATATATTATTACTTTTTTTGCAGCGTCTCGTTGCTATTGACTACAACCGAGGCAGCAGTTACCGAAGCCCAAGGAGATTAAAAATCCAATTATATGTTAAAATTGTCAAGCAGAGATACTTATTTTTTGCTGATTTTTGTGGGATTTAGGTCAATTGTCCAGCTGAATGACCATATTAATGAGTTCTGATTCTGAGTTCTCTTTGCTTTTCATTTTCTTTTACCAGCAGTGAACTGCAAATTGTGGAGGATTTAAGTACAAAATGTACTTAATGTGAAGGAAAATGTGTGAATCTCTGCAGAAAAGCAAATGTACATGGTTGAGTAACTTATCTACAAAATTGTTAACCAAACATTTGTCAGTTTGTGAGACAAATAAATGTGGCAACCCCTTCAAATCAAGTCTAATGTAAATTGTTGAAATGATCTTTGGTTTGATCAGTCAATGGGATAATTGCAAAAAAATAATAAATATAGTACTAATGAGCACATTTATATGATTATAATCAGAATTTAGTCATGTAGATATTAACATAATAAATTGTTGCGAGATGACTTACCCAGATTTAAGCTATAAACTAATAGGAAAATGCTCGATCAACATAATTTTTGTACACCGTAGCGGAAATTGGGAAAAAAAATTGCAGCTTAAAATTAAATGTATGGTACTCGAGGGATTTCAAGAGAGTTAGAAGGTAGAAGAACACTTTATAGCAACAAAGGTTGGCCCACAAACAGTTGGTTACAATCTTACAGCAAATTTTGAACTTTTTCCATTTTTTGTTTAATTTTTGTGAGAGAAAAAAATAAAATAAAATAAAATTTCATCGGCACTCCATGCATGCAGCTCAACGATCGAAAATTCTACATCAAGCTGAAAAAATGCTCGAAAACGAAGATTCCTTCAAGAGAAAAGGTGAAGACAAGTGCAGCTTTAAATTTGGGAATTGATAAGCTCTTCCACTGAGTTTCGATAGTTCGAAATAAGTTCCCTGAGACATGAAAGAACCGAAACAAGAAAACATATCACTGAAGAACTCAAGCTTTTATGCAACAACCTTTAACATCCGTGTTCCTTGTAGGAACCATGAGTACGCAAACGGCTTCTCTCTCTNTAATTTCATAGTTTTTAATGGAAATATCAGCACAGGCTAATGTACATTCCAGTGCATGAGCTGTTTGTTTTCAAGTGTTTTGAGGTTATAAATAGTGCAAACCTCCTTTGAGCCAGTAAGTTTTCAGTTTCCTCCAGTTTGCGCTTTTGCTCCCCAACAGTCTATCAACAACAAAATATCAGTCGATGCATGCGAAACAAAAATAAGCCAAAAATTACATTCTTTTGGACGTTAGATCAGAGGTATAATCCCATATAATTACTTCACTTGAGCTAAAAAACTTCTCACAGTTCAAGAGATTTTTTTCTCTGCAGCATTTTAGTAGCCAAAAAATGACATCCCTCAACACATTAGATCAAAGGTATAGTAACTCGTATAACCCCATATAATTACTTGACTCGAACTACAAAACTTCACACGATTCAAGAGATTTTTTTCTCTGCTGCATTTCAGTATCTTCCCATCAAATGATTTTGCTGTGGCTTAAAAGAACACCTTTAGATCAATTCTGGTCCAAAACAACACACACCAAGTTTGGTAAGAGGAGAAGTATGTGATTTTCTAAAGACAAAAACTTTCTTCAAAACCCACAAATCCTGTTCTCATAAAACAATTTCAAAGTCGAAACCAAGAACAGGAACAAAAGGATATCCAGCTAAGAGAAATATTATTCGATTCGATTCACACAAGTTGCAATGTGATGATTATGTAACCATATTCATGTCTCTATTTTCTCATTTCTACATTGGAAAGCAAATCCATAAAACATACCGTGGATTTGGCCTTAATTGTTCCCCCTATGGAGTTCAACAGCTGCTGGCACTTTTCAAACTGTGTGTTCAACTCAGCAACCTTCAGCACACACACACACACACACATCACACACAAAAATCATAGCTTGCAAGAAAGTACACAAGAAATTCGGCTAAGCTCAAAAAAGATTAAAACAATAATCAACCAACAAAGAACCAAAATCATCACCGACCAGCGCATCCGCTTGCTGATCCCTCGTCCCATTTTCAGTCACATCGGCCAAATTCTCCACCAGCTGAAAATTTGAACAAGAATTAGAAAACAAAACAAAGTCAGAATTAGAAAGAAAGAAAGAAAAACCCTAAATTTCCAATTAAAAGAACTGCGAACAAAACAAAAGAGGTAAATGACTAAGGCGAAAAAGGGGGTCGATTCATCACATGGAGAAGATGAAAGTGAGAGGCCAGAGACTGGTGCTGATGCTGCTGCTGCTGCTGTGTCGCCGGCGGCGGCGGTTGATTTTGATAACGCGGCTGCGGCTGCGATTGCGGCGGCTGCTGATTGAATTGCTGTTGAAATTGTTGTTGTTGGTGATTAAATTGGGGCTGCTGTTGTTGTGGGAGAAAGAGATGGTCTTGATTGGAGGGAGTAGCGGGGTTACTGGGGGGCTCCATGTTGGGGATCATTCCCCAGTTTCCTCCTGCAAAATGCTCCATTACTGTTGCCCTTTTGCTTTGCTCTGTAGTTTTCTTGTGGGAATTGGTCAGGATGACCCTTTACAGATTACAAATTGTGTAAATGACCCTTGACTTTATTGACTCAAATTTTACAAATAAAATTTAACAAATAATCATATTAAATAGACATTTACACATATACCCTCAACACAAAATAAACCCTCCTCACCCTTGCCACCTTCCTTCCTTTCCAATCTCTCTCTCGACCTCGTTTTTTTTTCTTCTGCAACTCCTCGGTCTCGCGCTTTCTCTCGCTCTTTTTCTCTCTGCTTTTCTTCAACAATTTTTCGTGGACAATCACTATGGAACTTTCTCTCGTCAATCCAGGTACGAATTTTTTCAATTTTTATCAATTTGTTCTTTGTTTGGTCCATTGATATTGGTGGAGCAAGTTTGATTGTTGTATGCGAATTCATCTTATTTTGCTAGTTTTGATGGGATTGAAGATGATAATTTGTGCACTCTATGTGTGTTTGATGAAATGCTTGTAGGATTGAGTTAATGAGGTAAGATAGTAATTTGTGCACTCTATGTGTTTGATAAAATGCTTGCTATGCTAGTTGTTGTATACTTGGAACCATTAAAAATCACTTAAATTGTAACTATATTGAAGGTATAGGTGTATTTAATCGACCGGGATGGAAATATAACCATAACGAATGTACTCTCGTTCTGGTTATATCGATGGAATGACATTGTTAACGATTCTATCTTCGTTATATATGACATTAGGACGATATTTTAAACTCGTTATAGTGTCGATATTTTAGGACGATATTCTATCTTCGATGGAATTACGTGTTAACGATTCTATCTTCGTTATATATGACATTAGAACGAAGGTAGAATCGTTATAGCTGTATTCGATCTACAAAATTGTCACTCATCTAAATAGTAACTTCACCTTGCACAATCTTTATCTAAATTATGTGTATGTATTTTATCCTTCATATTTATTAGTGATTGTTTAATTAGTATCTAATAATTTACCCCAAAGTGGTTTATATTTCTGGAATGTGAAATAATAAAATGTGGTTTATAATTGTTTATTCGATTCTTGCTTCGTATTGGTTCGAATTGGATATTGACCAGATATATGGACACCGTGGTTCAGTTAGTATGATTGGTTGGTTGGATCGAAAATTGTGGGTGGATCGTGCGCAGTAATCAAGAAACAGTAATAGTTTTTTTTTTCTTCAGATTTCAATTCCTCGGGCTCCACCAACGCCCCTCAACCAGGAAGCACGAGAAGATAAGTTGATTTCGCCTTCCTCAAACTCATAAACTGCAAATGGTGAAGCTTCGGAGCAAACGATTACTGAAACTGGTGAGTTCTCTTTTGTTCATTTGCCGGCCCCATCCTTTATTGGAAGTTCTTGGCTGTGTCAATTTATGGTTAGAATTGTTCAATGGTACGTTGATTTTTTAACATGTAGGTTGTTATGAATCTGCTTTACGAGTGTGAGGATCGACAATCTATTAAATTTCTCTAAGCTTCATTCAAGCCTTCATTTTGTTGATTTTTATTTCTTTGTTCTCTAAAGTGAGTCTTTCATCCTTCAGAGGTTGTTTTGTACATTATGCAGAATCATAGCTGAGGGAGCTTATGTT